ATGTTTCCACCACCTTCTTTTAGGTTCAGTAAAAGTTATCCTGCTACTTTTGACATTTGTTCGTTTTAGAAGCTCTATTAAAACCTTTGTTCTTTATGATTAATTTAATTTTACTGAGGTAAAATCCTGAAGAAATATTTGACTTTGAGGAAAGTTGTGTTCTTTTCTCTCCTTAAAATGTCGTCGGTAGGATCTTCTTTGTGGATATGCGCCCAAGTGTCTATAATTTACTTTCTATATAAAATAGAATAGATTGGTGTTGGTATTAAAGTAGTCTGTGTGCAGTTTGTGTTCTATATAAATGTTTTCCTTTGATTCTGTTCATACTCTGTTCTTCCAGCCTTCCTTTGGTTACTTCATCACCTCACCGGAGAAGAGGGAACCTTTTCCACTTATCAAGCCTGCAGAGTTCTCCTTTGGAGGAAACTCTCCTCGCAATGTCACGATAGAACTTGGTGAAGTAGATAAAACACTCCACCCAGGTGTGTTTGGAAATAACAAACAGCATAGTTACAGTTTTTACCTTTTTTAATAACCATTTATCAGTTCTGTGCACAATCTGACTGACTGATCATCTCACATCAGATGATTTGGACAGAACTCTCAATGCTCCAGGTGAAAGGTTGTCACCAAAAGGAGATACTGATCCAGAACCCTGTAAAACTGAGGTACATGAAACTCCCTGTTTTTAGATTTAACCATCCTCATGTATAACCTGCAGCTAATTCTGGGTTTATGATCAGTTTCAGGACCAAAAGAGAGCCTCCATCCCTGAACCTTCTCCGGGATCAGGATCAAATTCAAGCAACGCAAACCAAACTTCTCCGAACGAGAGCAGTCCACTGATGCTCAGCATCAGCACAATCGCTTCAGCCATCGCCAATGCCTCCATCAGCAACGACCCGTCGCAGCTGGCTGCTATGATTGTGGATCTGTCTAAGAAAAACAGAGCTAGGAATCGTCCCACATCCGACGCCTCCAACAAACAGGGACCTAGCTCAACTCAGCATGTAAGTGCTACTTCTTCTCTTTTCACTTTTAAGAAAAACCTTGAAAAACCTTTTTAAGGTCAAAGGAGCTGCTGGCGTGTCTGGGGTTGCAGAACTGCTGCAGAACTTCTTCTGTATCTATTTGCTTGATGTTTTGAGGCTTTTAAAATCTGACGAAGATGTAAATCATGAAAGCACATCTTCATAAATCTGTATGTGACCAAAACAGTATTCTTAATTAATTTTAGGCGAGACACCAAAACTCCTATTTTATTCATTCCTGAAACATTAAATACAGCAATTAATAAATTTAGAACAAATGTTTTATGTTGCTGTGTTTCTGCAGACAGTTTATGATATCCTTCAGGAGGAGGAGCTACAAAGGACCATTGTCAGTTCTGGGTGTTATATTCCATGATATTGGTTGAAAGTTTAGTGGAAGGAAAACCTGCACAGGCAATGGAAATGACCAATAGAAATGAAAGCCCTTGCAAAACTTTTAAGAACTTTGGGGGATTCACAAGGCGTGGCCTAAAGTTGGTAGCCTGGGTGCCAGTCAGAACGTAGTCCCGCCCACAAGGTTTGAGTTCGGGAAGTTCGGTCTGGCTCTGCTCCATAGTAGCGCGAGTATTAAAGCCCACTGTCAGGCGATCCAATCAAATTGTCAGGGCGGGCTTTATACGATGATGGACAGATGATCAAGAGTAACGTAATCAACCACGTGACCAAAGCGCGCTTGGGTGACAACAATAATGGCTGCCGCCGGAGAGTTTGGGTGAGTAGATTCTGCTATTAGGTCTGTTCTAGAAGATATCGACAGCAAATTAATTTTAAAAGAGGAACAGAGAAACGCGATCAAGGCTAATCTTCTTATTCTAGGCGTGAAACTGCACGCTTTGATTTTTGTTGACAACAACTATGCGTCGCTTAACATACGTTACGCACTCCGTTGCTCTTATTGGTTGTAGATCTATCCAGTTGAGTGCAGAGGCATTTTTTTTCCTGGTTCGTTCGAAACACGCCCCATAATCACAGCTCTATGGAGCAGCATCAGACTCATATTCTGACTAGAATTGAGTCGGACTACGTCAGACTATAAAGTTGGAGTAGGAACCTCAAGACTTCTTGGTGGCTTATGTCCCATTTACACTACCCCTCTGAAACCGATCTGGACCGAGCTTGGATCAGTTAACCGTGCCGAGCTTGGTTCGTTACGACCATTTACACATCACGCTAGCATGGTTCCTCCCCTCCTATCCGCGGTCCGTGATACTAGAGCTCTCAAAGGAGAAATTACGCAAACAAAAATGGCGGCCCCAATAACATTCAGGAACTTATGTTCCCTGATAGCATCTTGCAGCTAGCACTATCACACAGTCAGTCGGTTATGAGAGACTAGTGTTTTAGACCAGAGAGTCCGAGCGTACCAGACCAGTGTTGGAGGTAGTTTATGCTTGAGGCAGTATTACCCATAATGCAACAGCACTTCCTGTAACCATAACAGTCAAAGTGGTGGAGGAATGATGTTTTAATGATGCTCTTTATGTCCAGTATGAGCTGGATGCATCTTAAAAATATTAACAGTGTTATCTGATTCTGGTTCGAACCTGCTTCACTGACTCCACCGTTTAAAATGCGGCTCTACCAGCTCCTCTCCAGACCAATACGCCGCGTGTTTCCATCACCACTCACCTGAGCCACAGCCTCAACACCTCGCACTTCACGTTTCTTATGAAGCAAAAATTTTAATTTGAACCGTTAACCAAAAGTAGCCATCTATTTCTCTATTTAAACTTTTTACCTACAATTTTAGTAAGAAAAAATTCTTATTGAGAGCGGAGGCCTATCGAAAGCAAAGAGACAAGGACAGATCAAGCAGGACTTTATTATAAAATCCAAAACACAAAGGTTAAGATTAAAAAATAAACTTTAGAAATTGATTAGAAATATCAACGGTCTTTCGGCTGGTTTTCTTTATGGGAATCTGATTGGATAAAATTTGAGAGACAAATGAATTGCATAGTGTTTGCCTTAAATTGCGAGAAGATATTTTTATTACTTTATCCTTCTTACAGATCCCCTCTGCTCCAGATCAGAGCTCTATCACAGACATTCTGCAGAGAAGCGTCTGTGTCGGAGAGACAAGCGCCTTTGACATTGAGAAATACCTGAAGAAGACCAACATGTCCAGCACCAGCGACTCGTCTGACGCGTGCACCACCTTTGACTTGAGCAGATGGGCTGATGGTCTGAGCAGCTCTGAGAGGAACCCACCGGCAGACCATCCCACAAAACAGGATGACGTGACTCCAGAGATCACTCCACCCTCCAGAACTGAGAAAGACGGCAGAGGAAAGATTCCAGTCATGAACACGAGCTCCTCTGCCGTTCCGTTTTCTAACGTAGCAGCCGATGTTGATGAACCTAAAATCAGCTCCATTCCTCGTCCTTGTGCATCTTTCAGCTCCGTCAGTCATACTGGAGACTCAGGACAGTATACCCCTCCCCATTGTTCCACAGATAAACACACAGCTGCCTTTTCCTCACAGGTTTCTAACTCTACAACCAGAACCTCAACAAAAACTGGGGAGCTGGAAGAATTGAACCCCAGAACAAACATCAGGTCTTCAGAATCATCTAAGAATGATAGAAACTTTCCCAGAACGTCCCAAAGCTGGAGGAAGTCCCAGTCAGGCTTGCCTGTTCTGAAAGCTTCGAGCCAAAGGCTGAGAAGTGCAGGACAGGAACGGCAGCACAGGCCAAAAGATTCCCCGGAGAAGAACAAGCCGGGAAATGTAACTGCTTCAGCTCCTTCTGGTGAGTAACCTCCAGATGTAAACCTGGGACCACGTAACATGAATCTTATGGAACCTTTTGTCTCAAAGACGCACAGAGAAGTTTTCCTGACGCGGGTGTGGAGGAGACTCAGAACTTCAGACCGTCCACCTCCCCGCTCACCCACTCCTCTCCAAGTCAGACCTCTATTCCCGCTGCCGATGGGTACGGCACCAAACATGTCACCCAACTCCTCATTGTGCTGAATCAGATGTTTGAATGAAAAACACTGTTTATCTTCCAGGTTGGGTTCGCCCTCCTCACCCAACGGCAGGCCGGCAGACAGACATCCAGGTCATGACCTCTCGCCTGAGTCCACCTGCTCCAGTCCCAGCCTCAGCAGGCTCACATACATCTCAATAAATGATGGAACTGTTGTGCCCACACCTGAGCACCAAAAGGTAGTTTTATATATGAGCTTTGGGAGAAAGCTTAAAAAGGTCGATCCCACCCATGATGATAATTTGGTAGAGCTGGATTTTTTTTTTAATCGTCATTTTCCAGCTTTACTCAACAATTTACATTCAACATTTTAAATAACCTAAAATTGTTTGGAAGCTGTTCCTCTTATAGTACTTTTGCCTCATCAAAGATGTCAGGTTCCTTTTTTAATTTCCTTGGTTTTGAATTTTGTCTTTTTCCCCACTTCTCTTTCATTAGTGTTTGCTGTAGTCTCAGGTTTATTTGTATATTTTTCCATCATGTTCATTTCTTTTATTATCCCAGTTTATTGTTCATCTATAGCCAGCAGGTCTAACCTTCCTAGTGATAGCTTTAATAGTTTTTAACATTATTGTGATCAGATACCTTCCTTTTCTTCTTACCTTTTATTTGATATTGTTAACATTGCAGAGGCATAGTACAAAGCTGCTTATAGGAATATCATGTGACTATTTGGTGAGCAGTTTTCCATAATGTGAATTATTTTAGGACTGTTTAAAATGGTCTGTGTCCACTGCCCCATAATTCCACCAATATGTCAGGTCTATACCCTTACAGCTGTTTTTGATTTTAGGTGTAATTTAAAAAAATGTTTCCAGGAGTTTTTTTTCCAGGACTGTTTTCCACATATCTCTCAATTTCTCATCTCTAGTTTTCATGTTAGTTCTAATTTCCATTTTTCCTGTTTACTTAGTTAAGTGCCAGCTAGCTCTGTTGCATTTAGATTTCAATATTTAGTAGAAACAAACTTCTCTGTTTCAAACAGATCTGTAATAGGGTTGTCACGATACTAAACTTTTCATCTCGATACCGATACTAAGGAAAATATTCGATACTCGATACCATTTTCGATACCACAAGGATAAAAACAAAGACTCCAAAATTCTACAGAAATATTTTCATTAATAAATAAAATACAATAAATAAACACAATAAAGGTTGTCTGCTGTGCATAATATTATGCAAGCTTGATAAAAAACTTATAAAATTCAAATTAAGTGTTCCTTCCTTGGCTATGCTTTGCACACATAACAATGACACTAGCCAAACCAGTTAAGAAACAAAAACAATTCTCAGCAGCTGCACCTGTTACAAAAAAAAAGTCTGAAACTGGAAAGTGCGTAGAATTATTCAATCACACAGTGTTCTGAAAGTGCATTGTCCTCTATTCTGCACTTTAGATAAATGACTGCTTAGGTGCCACTGGTGGTAGCACTGTATCGATACTCTTAAAAACGAGTATTGTATCCGGATACAACGTTTCAGTATCGATACTTTTTTGAGTATCGATACTTTTGACAACCCTAATCTCTAAATATTTCCTGGTAAACTAATATTTGATTTATTTTTTCCAGAGGGAATCTTCTATGGGACTGAGCACCACCATCATCAGATTCAGTCCCACTCCACCGTTGGAACCAGATCTACAAACCAACCTGAACTCTATGGGCCTTTCTAAAAGTCTTGATAATGTGCAGCCTCAGCACTCTAAAAGCCTGGACCCTCTACCGGCCCCCCAGGGAAAAAGCCCTGAGGTCCCACGCAACGGTTCAGCTCTTAGCTGCACCCGCAGCCAGAGCGAATGTGTCTACCCCCCTCCTGGGGACGCTTTACCTGGATTCACAGGCGACGGGAATCTGTCTGATATCAGAACAAAGAAGCTGACTAAAGTGGACTCAGGTTATAACAGCAATCTGAACATCCAGCAAACTGGCAGCTCTGTAGCTCCTACAGCATGCCAGCAGTGGGGAGCGGCGCCATCTGTGTCGTCATCGCTTTATGGTGGCGGCCTCGGCATGCCGCCTCCTTATACTCTACAGAGGCTTCAGTACGTCCAGATGCCAAGTTTAAAGCCGCAGTTCCCAGGGATGGTGGATCTTCCTCACAAAGGAGATGTTCAGTCCCTCCTCAGCGGACGCTCTCTTGTTAGCCCCCAGTTATCTTTACAGTGTTTGGGATCTGAACCTCAGTCACATTCTGGAGCTTATTGTATGGGACCAGGAAACAGCCTTTTCAGCGTCTCCTCTACAGGCAAGTCTTTTGTTTGACTGAATAGATCAAAAAGTGCCTTCTTCATATTTTACACATTCAGTCATCCACACAGGTTGTAATGAAATGTAGATATTTCTCTCAGTTGTTACTAAATTAATGATCAAATGTGTTGGAAGCCCTGTTGGTTGTACATACAGCAATGCCAACGATCCGATCCAACTGATGCAGTCTCCCCACTTCAGGTCCTCTTGGCGTTCCAGGAACTGGACCTCATCAGCTCAACATACCACTTCAGAGTCAACATGAAATGGCAATAATGGGGAAACCGTATCGTCTTTATGGTGGAGAATCTATGCTGAATGGTCTGGAGGAACTGAGAGGTAGGAGTCGTAAGCACGGTGGTCATGAGAGTTTACGTTAAACAGCGGGAAATCTGCTGGTACTGAAGAAATGATGTGATAATGAGACGTTCATTTTGAGCCTCCGTTTTCAGCCTCCTGCTCTCATCCTCAGGGCAAGTGGTGGTTCCAGAGGAGCTTCGGTTCCCTCATGCCTGCTGCGTCGGCATCGCCTCTCAGACCTCCCTCAGTCTCTTCAATCCGTCGGAAAGATGGCAGCAGGTCTCCATCAGCGTCAGCAGTCTGGCCATAGACGGGGAGAAGGTTGGTTTGCTGCTGTGTCAGAGAGCGTTTACTAAAACCCAGAGATTTATACAAACTGTTCACAGACGTAACTTCCTTTTATCTTCAATGTGTGAACTTAGATTTAGTTTTCGGATTCAGCTCTTTTGGAATCATGGTGATTTTTGTTTTATTTCTATTTCTCCAGAGTCAAAGGTTTTGACACATTTTCATGTAAAATGTTTTGCTACTTGCTTCTCAATTAAGTTTTTTTTTAAATATATGATGGACTAGTTTTCTTTACAGAGCTAGTGAAACTGACTCTTGGTTGTAGGATTCCTTGAACCTGTAGATTTGCTGGTGAAGATTTTCAGTCATCCAGATCATAGTCATTCCAAAAAAAGTTGGACTTTGTTTCCAAGTTTGAAGATGTATCGCTTTCCCTCCAGAAAGCTTTTTCAATTCACAATGGCAGAAATAGCGTTGAGTTTGAGGCTTTATAGACAAAAGCAAATCCTTGTTTTAGTTCAGAAAACCTACAAATATAACCGGACGAACGGGTCCGCCCCTTTGGAATGGGGGTCGCTTGGGTTCCTTGTTAGCCTGCAATGCCCCATACCTGTCTATGTCTCTGAAAGGGAGTTGTAAGAGGGAATTGTTGGCCTGGCTGAACAGGCGAGATGTTCTTTTCCCTTATATGGGGGTGAGGGTTGTGATGATAGTGGAAAGGAATGAGCTCTATCGCTGCATTGTAGGTTTTTGAAAGCTGAAACCTGAGTCCACCCCCCATAGAGTTGATTCCTTCCCGCTATCATCGCAACACATCTCTCCTGTTCAGCCATCTGATCAGTTTTTAATACTCTGCTCCCTGATAATTAGGAATTCTTTTTGATTCACTTGATGCTTTGTTTTCTTCCCTGCAGGTGGAGAGCTTACCTTACCACTGGCTGATGGTGAAGAACAAGACCATTATTGGCCCTAAAAGTACAGAGGAGCAGAAAGTGTTGTTTGTCCCTCCGCAGCCTGGAGTCTACCAGTGTGTCCTCAGTGTTTGCTCCTGGCCTGCCTCGGCTGAGCCAGAGCTGGCTGCCAGAGCAGACATCTTCGCCAAAAGAGTGATGCTTGTTGCAGTAGCAGAGAACCCAGCACTGGAGGTGAGCAGCTACAAGTTGAGACGCCCCAAAAACAGTTGAACATGTCATGTCTGATCACTTTAGCATCTGGGCCATTTCCACAGACCTCAGACCGGAAGGTAATGTGGGATTTTTTTTTCAGTCAATATAATAATCCCTTTCTGAATGGATAGATTGACGCTGGTAAATCTGGCTGTTTGGACTTTGGAGACCTACCAGGAGGCAGCGCTAAATCACTACCTCTGAGACTGCTCAACAGAACACATGCTACAGTACCCGTCCGCCTGGTGATCAGTGCTGTGAGTTCTGACAGACTAATCCATGACTACCATTGTTTAAATAAAGTAATAATAATACAGTTCAACACGTCTCAATTAAAAACCTCCTTTAAATCTAATCCTGAACTCAGTTTTCCCATCATTCTTCCTGCAGAACGCCGCAGCATGGCGATGCTTTACCTTGTCCAAGGACCCTGTTGGCCTGACGGCTGAGGCTACGCAGCAGGGTGGACCCATGGCGTCGGTAGGCTCTCCCTCGGTGATGAATCATGTGATGCATGCCAGCTTCACAGAGGTTTGTATCTTCTAAACCTTCAACACTGCAAAAACAATCTAGAACTGAGTAAAAAAATCTTAAATTAAGTGTATTTACATTTAATTTCAGCGGCTAAAAAGGATTAATTTGCCAACGGAATTAGTGTTTTTATGCTACGTTCAGACCGCACGCAGCAGAGGCAGCAAAAACCCACCTGCTGCTTCATGTTTGATGCTTTTACAAGTTTAGTTCTGACACGCAGCTGAAGCTGATCTAACTGCGCAGATGAAAAGTGGGTCTGATGCACGTTGAGCGGAGCTACCCTATCCTTTCTTTGCCTGGAACAATGGCAGCTATACTTTCTGTGATCAGTGGGTAAAAAGTAGCCCTAACATGTTTTTGAATGAGAAAGTCCACCTGAAAACTTCATCAGTGCAGTCAGTTCATCAAGATTACGGTCCTGCCTTCAAATATTGTTTCTGTCGGAGCTGCTCAGACCCGCGTAAACCGGCGGAGCGCTGTCACTGGGAATCCCGTTCAACGTCAGCATCTGGCCCGGTCGCCTCTTCATGGTTTTCTGCTTCTGTTCGCGGCGGCTGGAAGTAGATGTTAGCTTTTTGACGTACGTAATCCAAACTGCAGGCACCAGAATAATAAAAGCAAACATATATATTATATTATATATATATTATCTGGCAGGTTTCAACATTATTACCTAATTTATGCGTTAATGAACTGTTTCAGAGGAGTGATCATAGCGATCTGCATCAGCAGTGCTGTGTCTGTCTCCCTTCCAGCTCCCAGATCAGCTTCTCTAATTGGTTGATGTGGCACATTGGGCAGCAAAAGTTACATTTTTTCAAACTCCAGCAGCTGCTGCTTCTGAAGGGAGTTGCGTGCGTAAGATGCCCAGAAGCTCATGAGGCGCTGCTTCAGCTGCTCAGACGCGCTGCTCAAAACACGCTGCAGGGCTTTTTGCTGCACCTTGATGCGCATCAACAATTGACTTTACATGTGAACTAGCTACTTCTGCTGCCTGCGCTGTGAACGTAGCATTAAAGCCAATTTATGCTTCTGATGCATAGCCTCTGCAAACATCAAATCTGTCTCTGTTTATGACCACGCCCCCTGTGCAGAGGTTCTGCAACCGTTGTCGCGCACCTCAAAAAAATCCTGACTATGCATCGGACGGTCAGAAACCCGCGCAGACCTCAAGCGGAAATGCGCAGACAAAATTAATCGGTCTTTTTGCCATCTCCATTAACAGAACCTGTTCCTCTTCGATGTCTAGCAACTCTAGATCCATCTCTGTGACCGTGATATCTTGCAGACGCGCCATTGTTGTTTTGATAGATAAACACTCCCGCCAGCGCCGCCAAAGTTCTCGCGAGTTCTCAAATAGGCTCCCCTTTGCACTTTGGCGGGAAACTGCTGTACATCCCTAGAAATTCCACACTGGCGGTGCAGAAGCATACCAGCAAAACTGGTTTGCAACCAGACCCAAGCGACATTTGATGTGTGCGGTTGCAGAAGTCTAATCTGCCCTTAACTCCTAAATAAGATAATTAGATAGTATGCACTTGAAATAAGACAATGCAATTGTTTATTCTTATTTTCAATGTAAATCTTCTTGTTCCATTGACAAAGTGTTTTTCCTCCTAAATTATAGAAGAAAAAAATGCACTTATTTTAAGAAAAACAATAACTTATTTAGATTTCCGTTTTCTATCTTTATTGAGATGGTGTCAGAATTGTTTTGTTTCTGGTAGCGTCCAGGTTCACGATATCTGCCAGACTACTAAGCTGAGCCTGAAAAGCTGTGTGTAACTTTTTCTTTCAGAAACCAGAAAGCTTCATGGTCTGGGTCCATTTCAAGGCTCCTCAGAAGTTCATAACCTCTTCAGGTATTTTAGATCATTAGAAGTCATCTGGCTTGCATGATTTTACATTCTATAGATAAAGTGATTGAAATGTTCTTGTGTAGTAGCAGACTTTTACCCTTATGGTTCCTTTTAAGGAGATCTCGGCCCAGCTGATGAGTACAGTGCTCGGGTGGACATCGAGGTGGACTCTCCGGGTCCTAGTCGTGTTATTAGAAGTGTTCCCCTGAAGGCCAAGTGTGGAACAGCAAGAGTTCACGCTCCTAAGGATCTGCAGGTTGCACAACTATCATGTACTTCTATGTTTTTGATGTTTATTCAACTGTAATGAGCAGATTTAATGAGGATGTTTACAAAACCCTTCAAAACCATGAAATAAAGAAATATCTGATTGGTGTTTATCCTGATGGCAGATGCAAACAGCAAACTGGCTGCTGTTATATGCTGTCGCCACCTAGTGGCAGAGGCTACTCACATCTATCATTTTGGTTGCTTTGACTCTAAAGGCCAGAACACACCGGTTGCATAAGACTTTGAATCTCCAATCCAATTTTGTTTCCATGTCAGACTGACTGCATAGAGGGGCTCTTATTATGTAGCGCAGATTCTGTCTCTATGCTATACACAAACTAAAGCAATTTCCCACATTTGACTTGGACAGAAAGTTGTTAAAAAAATAAAATACTGGAGCATTCTATGAAGGAAAGCCCAACTTAACAAGTTTGTGCAGCATCTCACTAGAACAGATAGAGGACGTTCATAGGCCTATAGTAAAAACATAAGATCTACGTCTAAAGAAAAGGAAAAATGCAGCACTAACAGGGTTTCCACGGTCACTAAACATAATTGAATTATTTTTTAAATTAAGGCTTGAATTGGCATTAAAATCCATTAAATGTGCGTTTAACATGCTTTATTTAGAAAAAAACATTTATTAAAGGATACACTATATATATTTTGCAAATATATCGCAATATCTTTTTCCTGTGAACTGCTTCCAGTTGATCGTAGAGCCGTATGTTTGGAAAAGAAGCTCGAGGCGCAGAAAAAGCTAGAGAATGACAAAATGCTCATTTTAACAAAAGTGGCTGGAATTCGAGGAATTGAATCCTGCCGACGTTAAAGATAAAGAAGGAATTTGCCGTGTATATATGAGTCATGGCAACTTGTTGATGGAATTAAGATTATTTCTAAGAGCATTAAAAAGCATTAAATTAGAGTTGCTCATTCCTGTATAAACCCTGAATAAACGCTGGGGGACGGTATATATGCCGACTGAGGCAGAGAGGTGGTTCTCAGAGAGATCTGTCAGGTTTATCTGAGGTCTTCTTTTTTTCAAAAAGAGGTGAAAGAGATGCACTGTGCTTAAGCCTCTGTCACACCTTCACAATTTAGACCAACGTACAAATAATCTGGCAAAAACGCTAGCATACGTTGAATAAGTTATGGGTGTGCTTTGTATAAGTTATTAGCACGCTGAAACACACTGGCACACATCGGCATACGGCAAGTACGTTGAGAATTTTTGATCTTGCTCAAAATTTCCGTACGTATGCTCATACGTGGGGCATCAGTTACAGGTAAGTTATCTGGTCGTTGACATACGTTAACTGTAAGTTACTCATAAGTCCTGGTGTTTAACTTATCCATAACCTATCAATAACTTGTGCATAACATAGGGGTAACTCAACAGAAATTATACCGACTATGTGGTTTAACTTGTAGATTTGTTTGTTTTTTAAAAGTGGATTTTGGTGTCAACTTATTGAATTCCTTTTTTAGACTGTGAGCCTTTTTGCTCCTGTGGGTCAATGTAGTGAGCAGACTCTGCCATTAAAGAATGCAGGAAACATCGACGTTCAGCTGAATCTTAAGGTAATCCTGACTTTTCCTCTTCTTACATGTTTATGTAATAAACGGTATAGATCTCAGATGTTTTTCTTGTTTGTTTGTTGTTGTTTTTTTCCAGATCGGTGACAACAGTGAAAGCTTTTCAGTGACTCCTGAGGATCTGTTCCTGAGGGTCGGGGAGGAGCAGGCAGTTACGGTTTCATTTAAAGCACAGAACAGCAGGAAGCGTAAAGAAAGGTATGCAGACAGTGTTCTGATTTCATGTTTATTCCTCAAACAGGAGGCAGATGCTTTAAAATAGCTCCTAAATAATTCCTGTTTTATCATTTGTATGGTTACATCTGTCAAAACTTTGTTTTGACACAACTATGAATGTAATGAAATCATGTAACTCCTTGAAGCCTCTTTTTTTCTTTTTTGTTCTTTAGAACATTTATAATGATTAATAGAGCTGTGCAGAGGTCACTCATGCAGTGAACGGTCGATGCTAATTTAATGTTTTTTTTGTTTGTTTTTTAGCCTTCTGACGGTGCTGGTTATGCCGTCAGGCCCCCAGTATGAGATGACCCTGAAAGGAGAAATGGTTCCTTCTGACGCTGGAAAACCCGTGCCTCCCTCACTGACCAGTGACATCCCACCAATCCTCTCCAATAAGCAGTTCTTGGCCTGGGGAGGGGTCACCCTGGGACGAGCTGTGTAGGCTACTTTTTTATGTTTCATTCATTTGATCACAGGCCGAACACTTTGCAGGTTTCAGTTATTCATTGGAAAAGAATCGATGGAAGAAAACCAAACCTTCAGCCTCGGTGCTCCATCTTATTCTATTAAGGCCGGTTTAATGTTATTCATGAGAGGGGACACACGGGGTGTCTGCAGGGAGGGTTATTCCTCAAAGCTTTTCAGCTTAATGCACAGTTTATTTGTGCTCTTTGAGGCGAAGTAAGAGCAGCGTATCAGAATAGTAAAGATGGATCCCTTTATTGAAAATGATCAACCTGGACTTTAATCTATTTTACATAAGTAGTAAAAAAAACAAACTTAGATAGAGAGAGATGAATTTGTTGCATATTGCAGCAATGGTGGGCTTTAAGGGGTTAATATCACCACTTCTAATAAAAGAAACCACCAGTTGTATAAAAAAATATGAAATGTAACAAGGGGTATAATCCAGAGGAAGATTAGTATGAGGGTGAAAACAGATCAATGAAGCACCTCTACCATAGAACCTCAGCTCCGCCACATTTACACCATCAGTATCTGTTCAGAATCAATATGCCAGATATTACCAGATAAAAGCATAAAGCATGAAAATATAATATATCAAACTCACCAGAGATGCTGATTATTTTTTTTAAAGGAGAAGTCTGGTCAGCAAGGAACGACCAATGGATCATTATGATACCTAAAAATAAGTTCGCAGTGATTTATAAATTAAGCTTTAATCAGTAAAAAAATATAAATAATATTTTTCGTCACAATCACTGAGTCCGTGAGCGGACATTTTTGCCGAGATATAATAACATCTCACTCCTGCCATCTTCCGGCAGTAACATCACGGTGCGGTAAGCCTAGCGCCATTCCCCTTTACAAGCAAAATCAATGGGAACTACTAGACACATCTGCAATCAACAACAATTATTGAGGATTTCCAGATAACTTCACCATTGAAATTCACCAGAGCTATAGTGAAACTGACAATGCCCACATGTATGGCAGTTGGATGTTGGAATACGTCGGGTAAAAGTCGGATTCGTCGTTGGATTGCCAACTTGAAGAGGGAGGATTTGCCGTTGATCTTCTGGCCAGAGAAAAAACACGTGATATGTAGCCAACATTTGGAAGAAGAATGTTTTCAAGATGACTTGGATAATGGTGCGTTGTGACAAACACCAGATACAGCACTGGGACTTGATCAACCGCTGATACCGCACCATGATGTCACAAACCAGTAGGTGGCAGTAGTGTTCTTTGACAAACATGGATTTCTCCTGTAAAGCACGTTCAAATGAAATTTACTCTTAATTATAAACACTTATTTATTGAACAGTATGTTAAATAACTTTCAGAAGTTCAATGACTGAATATGACGGGACTTTTCCTATTAGAAAATCCATCTGTCTTTGTGCAGGATGTCTCAGTGCCTCCTTTTATTATCAGCCATTTAAGACAAAAAAAAACTTTTAATAAAAGCGACTTTAAAGTGCAGATGGTTGCTAGCTGAACTTTGCTGTAAACATTAAACTCTGAAATTGCTCAGATTCATGTGGGCCCGCTAGTTCTCCTGGTGGAGCAAATCTGATTGGTTGAACAAAACAAAGCTCACTAATGTTTTTAGGCTACATCAACCAGCAATACTGATTCTGAAGGCAGTGGGCAGATTTGGTTGATATAGCAACACATAGAGGCTG